AAACCCTGTCCCCCCCCCCAGCTTCAAAATTTCCAGAAAGTTTACATCTCTAGCCCCTGATAGTTAAAGCAACCCTCCATGTGCAGAGACGGTCCAGCCCTCAATACCAGTTGCATGCGGGGGAATCAACAGGGGAAAGCTCCGGCCTCTTCTATCCCTGTTGGTGGCTTTCTGAGGGAATCTGGCGCTAGACTAGACGGACCTTTGGAATGATCCTGCAAGGCTACTCTTCCTACCCTTCTGGCAGGACTCAAGGTCCCAACGTTACACAGCAACGAGCGCAAGTCTTAACACGGCTTGGAAGCAGCTGCTTCCCTGATTGCCTGTGGCGAGTCTGTATCCTCTCCAGGTGACCAGGCAGGGAAGAAGTCTGCAAAATTTCTCACTGAGTCGGCACTTTCCTCCACACCTTGCAGGCTGCAAATGGGCTATAGCATAAGGACTGGGCTAGTTTAGATCCTTTACATGGCCTAGGGGATTTCTCTGGACATCAGCAGAGCTGCCTTAAGGCCGGATGGCCCAGCACCAAGCGTGTACAGAGAGGCTGGCAAGCTCTCCAGACAGGGGCTGAGGACAGAGACAAAGTACGAAAAACGCAAACAGCACACGGCGCCTCCAAAGCCCACTAGGGACCCAGGCACAGAGTCCCTCGGTTCGTTACGAAGCACTGTGGCAACCGGCTCTCTCTCGGTCCCCCCTCGAGAGGTCTTCACGGAGCTCCAAGGCAGAGACTGGTGGGTTCATGACACCAGGGCACAAGCTTCCCTCTCACGCTGCTGCACGGCATTTGGCACAGCGGGTGGGAAGACAGCGGGGGGGGGGAGGAGGGGACATGGAGGGCTTCTCAGCCTCCTTCCAACCACCAGGGGAGGCCTTCGTCTTCAGAGAGGCCACGACACCCTCAGTGGAACAGAAATCCCTAAACTAACCAGGTTAAAAGGTCTCCATACTCTTTGCAGATTTCACAAAGTTAACAGCCGGCAAGTTTTTAAAACGGAAAGCTGCAGACCTGCAGGGATCCCTTTGGCATTTCCCCATGGCTGAAGCCAACCCTGATAGGGCAGTGCCCGAGTCCCTGGGTCAGAAGGCACATGGGGAGCTGCCCGAGGCCAAGACAGCTGCGTGATCCAGCTAGCCAAGCCCTCTCCCCTCTGTCTGGAAGGGGCTCTCTGTCGGAGCCCGTGCT